TTTCGGTCTGAAAACTAAGTGTCTTTATGAACCTGAACACAAACATCCCTTTAAGTTTTATCAGGTAAATTTTCTGTAAGAGAAAATTCCTTTTTTTGTGTGTGTGGGCGAGTCTGACGGAATGTATTCCCGACTTATTCGGTGCTGTGCATGCGGCCACGTGTGTGTGTGTGTGTGTGTGTGTGTGTGTGTGTGTGTGTGTGTGTGTGTGTGTGTGTATGTCCCGCCGTGGGCGTTCGCGCCAGATTACGAAGGATCCTCGCCTCGTGGCCAGCGGAGAAAGAAAAGGAAGAAGAAGAGGGGCGGGAAAAAAGGGCGGTTAGCCATCGCAAGCCCTCGGACGAGGAAAGTGTTTCGTAGCTGTCTGTGTCGCGCACTGAAGCCGAGTTTAGATAAAACCACATGTGCCGGACCCGGAACTAGTGCTGGGTACTGTCTCTCCTTGACGTCGGACCCTGACGACGGTGTGTGTGCAGCTCCTAACCAAAGTCTTCACAGGCGTCGCTGTCGGCGTAACCGCGCGTAACCCTCGTGATCCTCGTGGGGGTAACAAACCTCGTAACCCTTACGAAGGTTACTCTCACGAGGGTCACGAGGATTACCCCCACAAGGGTTTCTGGGTTATGAGAGTTACCCTCACGGGGGTCACGAGGGTTACTCTTATGAGGGCCATGAGGATTACCCCTGAGGTCGCGTGACCCCCCGCTGAGGTCACGTGACCTCCCTCCTTCACCCCCTGAGGTCACGTGACCTCAGGGAGTCACTTATCCCTCAGTACCCTACCCCCTACCATCCTATCCCTCAGTACCCTCCCATCCTCCTCCTCAAGAGCTGTGCCCTAATCCGGCGTTACAGGGAGTTGTAAACGGCTTTCTTTCTTTTTTACTTTTTCAATTTCATTTTTTTTTTACTCGGATAAATATTTCCAAATGTTTTTAATCTTAACGGACGTCTTGCTGCTGCAAATGCCGGTGATGTCGCAGCTTTACCTTGGTCAGTCGGATGAACATCCGTCATGGATAGCAGCCTAATAAGCTTGGCGGCTCAAACATTCCCACTTCATCGCGAATATAGGTATAAATATTCGCATATAATAAACCGCCTTTCTACTACTTTCTGTTAAAAAAATAAAAAAAAGAAATGTGTAGCAGTAGCGATTACAAGTTTTCGTCCCGCTTTTGTGTAAAAAGTTCAGCTGAAGCTCAAAAACTTGTCATTTTAAGGGACAAAACAGGATTATTGGTTAAATTAATAAAAAGGACGAGCAACGAGGGTATTGTTTTAATTAGTAGAATACATAAACTTGAGCCCAATACCCAAATACAACACAAAAAATTCATCTAGTCATAAAATACACGGAATCAAAAGATAATCTCGTCTGTGGCATTGGGAAAAAAGGCCGGCGTGGAAGGTACACTTTGCAGCGCTGTAACTTCTAAGGAAACAAAATGATGCAACATGTTTTTCACGAATAAACACGAGAGTACGGTGGAGAGCCACCACTATAAATTTCAAGAAAATCGAAGATGAGTTGTTTTTATTTAATTCCCCCAGAAATGTCTTAACTTCGTAATTTAGAACAAGTTTGGAGAGACATCCGAATTTCTATCTTTGAGATAAAACAATGATTTATATATCATTCGAAAGAAAGTTTTAATAAAAAGATATGAGATAATATTTAATAATTTAGCTATTCAATTTTTGTAGATACGCGGGCTCAGAAATCTAGTAACAAAATGTCAAAGGAGCCCTGTTTGCGCATTTGTGACGCGAAATATATGCCCTCCACAATGCTGTACATATGTCACTCAATAGTTTTGAGATTTCTGATATCTGTAGTTTGCGTAGTAGGTGTCACCAAACATGACATGAACGAAGTCTTCAAAGATCGAATATGCTCTTTTGGCGCACTCAATTTTTGTTTTCTCTTTAAATATTACGTTCCTTGCAAACTCTTTTTTTGATTACGTTCCCTACACATGTTGAGAACAATGAAAAGTAAGATATAAAAATATATTAAAAAAAAGTCCGGACTCGCGTGCATGATTTTCTCTGAAAAGTTTCGTACGGCCACATTGTTACGCGGTGTATAGATGAGAAATTTAGCCAGTACAGTACGACAGCTATCTTCTATATAGGCTCCCTGCCCGCTCATTCACACCGGAAGCGGATCCGCGTTCGCAAAGCGCTTGCGAACGCGGTTGTATAAAGATCCAGTACAATTGCACGTGCACTAGATGACATCAAGTGCGCGTGCAATTGTGAGGGAGCCAGAGTTGTGCGTCTGTTTTCCACGTGCCGCCGCGCCGCTATTCGCCGAGATCCTATCACGTGAGGAGCCGGATCAAGTGTCGTGCAGGAAAGTAGACGGCGCGCGCCCCCCGGCGTACGTTCCTCTGCTTTTGAGCGCGCCCCCACCTCGAACGCGCGGCGCCGCTATTCGCAGAGTTCAGTCACGTGAGGAGCAACTCCGCATGCCGTGCAGCAAAGCCGGCGCTCCGGGGGTGAACACGCATTTCTGGCTCCCGTAGGGACTATAACCTTGCCCCTCGTTCGGATACCTTTCGTGACGTCAGTACCTTGTGAACAGCAAGTTCGATGGTGTTTGTAATGGAATGGCGGAAGCTTGAAATCATAGCGCTCTCAAAGCAACACTGCATACACCATCAAAATTGAAGTTCTTACATTTCTCTTATTTTCGTCGATGAGGCATCCTTTGCTGACGTCCTAGCACGGTGTGCGTCCTAGTCAGCATTCGGCTAATTCTGGTGGGCCGACCACAGCGACGCTTTCGATCGCTCACGTCGCCAATAGGCTCCCTACCCGCTCATTCACACTGGAAGCGGATCCGCGTTCGCAAAGCGGTTGCGAACGCGGTTGTATAAAGATCCAATACAACTGCACGCGCACTTGATGTCATCGAGTGCGCGTGCAATTGCACTGAATCTTTATACAATCGCGTTCGCAACCGCTTTGCGAACGCGGATCCGCTTCCAGTCTGAATGAGCGGTACGGGAGCCAGAGTTGCGCGTTCATCCCCGTAGCGCCGTCTTTCCTGCATGGCATGTTGATCATGTTCCTCACGTGACTGAATTCACGGGCGCTGGGTTCGGCAACGAATGCACAGGGCCCGCGCTTGCTCCGGACGTTCTAACAGTTGAGCCATTTTCGCCGCCACAGCGATTGGACAGGGACCCCATCCCATGTCCGCCAAGGCATTGGGTTATAAGTTGTGACCACGCGCGGTGCTCGTGTCATATCTGCAGACTCGAAAATCCAGCATGTTTACCTTCCCGCAAAGTATTTAAGAGAGCCAACAACTGCAATAAAAACATCTCTGCGAAAGAAAAAAATTGAAGACAGGAAAAGCTTTGCGTTGTGAGATTGTGCATGATGCAATCATGTGAAACGTCATGCACGTATCACAGCACAAACTGTTTTTTTAAATATTTTAATTTTCTCTCTAGCTTCCTTCATAGCTTGCAGCCATTGCCTCTCCTAAGTTCTTTGCGGGAAAGTAAACGAGCCGGATGCCCTAGTGCACATGTATCGCGTTCAACTCAGTGGACTCTTTGGCCCTGGGCTGACCCCTGCGACTCAACGCCGTGAATTCCGAAGCCTATCGCCAGCAAGCTTTGCGAAGGAAAAACCAAGAGAAATAGACAGATTCTATCCTTATAGGATTAAACCGTGCGTGTATAAAATGCTTGAGCAAAGTCTGTAGCATCCAAACCCATGTGTCATGGCATTACATAAGTACTCGGAGTGCATCGCGAGGCAAAAGCATGGAACTTTTAAAAATTAAAGAAATACAGACTTTCACCAACCAGGTCCTAAACAGTTAGGAGCCCAACGACACGACCGTGGATTAAGAAGAAGCTGCTGCTCTTCACGTGCAAATAGTCGCCCCCGATGAAAAAACCGAACCGTTCTTGAAATGTCGGGCTCCTAACTGTTTAGGCCAAGGTTTGTGAAGGTTAGGGGTGCATCAGGACCGTGGGTTTAACTCAATATTGATGATGATAGAAACGTTGTTCTATTAACGTGAAAAGGAATAGACTCCCGGTTCTCTCGACTAATGTCATCCGAGTCAATGGACCTATTTGAAGTAACAGGCGCCGTCTGCAGAGCTCTCTACTAAATACAAACCAATAGTATAGGTCCATGAGAACAGATTGACACCATGCCGTTGTACTGGTTTTCATTGCTGTTTATGCTCCATACTCACAATACTAAAAAGATAATCGCAGAAAAAGATGAAATTTACACAAATACAGGTGCTGAATGTGTTGGTAGTGCGGAACGGTGCCATCGGAAAATGCAACAGCGAGAAGTAAGGCCAGGGGAGAGGCTGCACAATTGTAGAGGATTTTACTAAGGAAAGGAGTGACGGGTTAAGAGGTTAAAGGAAGCTCCTTTACCCCCTTTCCACTTGAGCAAAGCGAACACTAGAGACGCGGTCGCCTCGTTTCTGCAGTGTTCGCTCTGCTAAAATGGAAAGAGGTGGGAAAAGCTTCCACCTTCTTCCCAGCGTTCGCTCTGCTAAAGTGTTGGGAGAAGCGTCCCTCAGGCTTTGTTTTTTAGGTGTTATTGCCTAAGTCGGAGTAGGACACGCCTCGCGTAGTTGACGCGCAGCTTGGATACGAGCCAGTTCATTGACATTTGCCGTTAGGCAAGACGACTTGCGCGGCGGGAGGTAAAAGAATTCGTGCTCAGTTGAAAACTAAAGTGGTTCTCTTTACCAATCTATTCTTCACTCGAGCGTACTGCGTATTTATCTTCCTTTAGACAAAGCGGGGAAACCTCGTGTGGACATTCGAATCGGTTATCGGACCTCGCGTGGTTGCTTGATAACAGCGGTTTTGGAGGTGTTTGGCAATAAACCTCGACTTGATGCATGCAGGGGCGCAGATATGCCCGATAAGAGTGGTAATTCCGGAGTAATTGGTCGTAAACCTGGGCCGTGTATAGCGTAGCGCACGAAAGCTGCTGGAGAAGAGCTACCGCACTCAGCTCGCACCATGAGCTCAGTCCTCGCTGCCGCTCTGGCGGTTCTCGGGCTTCTGGGCGGAGGCGACGCGCGTGTTTTGACGAGGTGCGGGCTTGCCAGAGTTCTCGTGTGGTACGGAACACCCAGGGACCTGGTGCCGGACTGTAAGCGGTGCATCCTCTTTTCCTTCTGCTGTATTCGCCACGCAACATAAGTGCGTTGAGTTTTCTCTCCTCTGTTGCACGTTCCGGCCGCCAGGTCATGCCAGTGTCCTCGGTACAATTGGATAAGTAGAACACGGAGAGAGCCAATCACGACGAACGAACAGTAAAAGAATCGCAGCGAATAATAAAGCTCGTAATACGATTAGACTAAAAAAAAAAAAAAAAAAAAAGCGATCTGCGAAAGGACAGCGAGCATAATATTTCACTTGCTCATTCCTGCGCCTTTTTCAAATCTGGTACTAGTTTGAGCTTCGTCATTCGCTGGAATTTTTGTATTGTTTGTTATCCTTGATTAGCTCTCTCCGTGTTCTCCTGGAAAGTAAACTCAGAGGCTTGTTTTAGTGTGTAGCCCCTCGCTTTTCTCTTTCACGTCTATTCCGCTAGGTGACGCTTCGAATGCTTCTCTGGAACCACGTTTAGTGAATTCTTCTTGGGCATTGTCGTATTGTCCTTCTCTTTCCCAGTCGTGTGCCTCGCTGAAGCAGAAAGCAGTCTCGACACCGCAAAAGTGGCCACCACGGATGGAAGTGCGCGAAATGGTTACGGCATATTTCAGGTGAACACCGGCTAAGTTTTGTTGCAGTTTGCGTGAACTTGATACGCCTTCGGGACAGGAGTTTTTCGCTAAACTCGTATGGTTTAGTTTCTTCTACGGGCGAACAAACAAACATGCGATGCGCTGACCCAAACATGCGATGCTTGACGTAACACCTCTGTGGTGGTGATGATGATGCAAACTAAATACTTGCTTCTGGTTTGAAATTGATCTTTTGGGGGAATAAACTGTTTCAGAAAAATGAGTTCGTATTCTCAATGCAAATTCTCAACGCGCTATATAAACGTGTATAAAACACGTTTATATAGCGCGTAACTGTGTCTATAAACAATACAAGAAAAAAGTCGTATTTTTCGCCCGCAATGTTCGAAGAAATTAAAGCGATAGCTGTAGCGCGGTCGCGCAATGCGGGTGGAATGGTGTCGTCACGTACCGCGACGTGATTAATTGTGATAGCCGTCGTGGTTGACGTCGTGGATGCCACTGGCAACCGCCACCAGTACTCGGGGATCCGTGAAGCATGTTTCTTAAATCATCCAACATTACGCGCAGCAACCGGGTACTGCCAAAGTGGGATTTCGCGTAACGCGAGTAACGTTTGAAAACAAGTTTTTCAAGCAGACGGCACGAAAGACTCTCCTTTCTTCGCGTCGTTACTGGCGGGATGCTGGGTCTCCCTCTTTTTTCTCTCCGCGCTGCGCGGCCGACGGGAAAACCCGACTTCCCTGGCCTTGCGTCAAAAGAGAAGAGAAGGATAGCGGCGACGACATCCCACGAGTTTGAAATCTTTTCAAATTGTCACTTGAAAAGCTATCGCTTAAAAAAAAAGAAAATGATGATGGTGGTGGCATATTGTAGCAATTTAGAAGGATTGCGGGAATCCATGAATAGGGACGCTATTTCCCCATAGGAGGCGGAGCCCTTCTTTTTCAGGGAATTTTCGGACTCAATTTCAATTAAAAGGAAAATGGAAATTTTAACGGAATTGCAGGAAATTTTAAGGATTAACGGCGGAATTCGGGAAACAAATTAGAGACAATTTTATATTAAAGAGAAAATAAAAGTACTGTGGTCCAAACATTTCAAGAAAAGAAAGTGAGAAAGTCACGGTGCGTGAAGGAGAGGTGTCTGAACGGGTGGTTCCCGTTTCGGGGCCATTCCAAATACAACCTTACCGTTTCGACCCGGCTCGAAAAGACCTTCTCGTTTCATCCTTTCCCATTTCGCCCTTTCCCGAAACAACCTTCCCGCTTCGGCCACCGTTCGGATCGTTTGTATTGTTCGTTAACGGTTGATTAGGTACAAGTGTCCAGTGTCTGTTCTCCTTGCTCACATCACTTCTCCCTCTCCCGAAACAACCTGTGTCAGGGAGGGCTCACCCGAACATATACAACTTCATCGACCTGCAAACGGGATGAGGCCTTGACAAGGATATCGCTGCACCAGCTTGTAAATGGTGGTGCCGTGCGGGCCAGGTGACCGCCGCGAACTCTCACAATTGGAGTGTCGTCTTTCTGATGGCGCGATTTTCCTTCTCAACTTCCTCAACCAAGGCGATAGCATTTTGCGGTTTATGATTTTTGCCTGTGTACAGGACGGATCTGTGTTTGAACTTGTAAGAAAATGAAGTCGCGATCATATGCCCATCAGCCTGTCTGATTTAACACTTTTAAAAATATCCCTTTCGCTATAAGGAAGTTTTAGAATAACGTACGCAAGCGCTTTGGGTAGCTTAAAGATAGCGTCGCGATATAAAACTTAGGCAACGATAATTTTTGCTGACTCAAAGTGCTTGCCTGCGTTGCTCTAAGACTTTATTAGGGAATTTTAGTAGACCACGTTTCCCCTTTCGCTAAACCCTCCGCAACGAAGAAGCCGCTACTGCGCCTGCGCGCCGATGGCTTGGACTGTAGATTTCTGGGTATCGTAGCGGGTTGCGGAGGAGCGTCGCGTGACGTCGAAAACGGTCTACGAAAGCGATTGTTGGTTTTAGCTGTTTGTCTAAACAAAATCAGAAGACTGCCATCAATAAGTAAAATTCGAGAAAAAAAAATGCCAACATCGTGTTCGTGGTAACGTTGTCGCGCAGTGTACGTAGTCCATTTCGTAGTTAGACATTTTGGGGACCATCTTGAAAGAAACATTTTAAGTGGTTCAAGTAGACATATATTTCGTTGAAGCTAGCTTGTCTGCAAGTATTGCATATTTTAAGAATACGTTTACAAGCAAAAATATTTCACAACATAACTGAATTGCTCGCCTGCACCTTTGCATTACTTGTATTAACATGATTTCGGGACATATTCTTAAGCAGAAAAACTGCGCAAACCAGGATTAGAACGATGAACACTTTTCGTGAAGACGTTGCGATGTGCGGTGCTTTATACCAACGGGTTCAAACGGGACGAATTCCAACGTAAAATATGTCTTGGCTACGGGTTCAAATATGAAGGGCGCTTCGGGAAAAGGTTGAAATGGGACAGGTTCAAACGGGAAGGTCGTTTCGGGAATGGGTTGAAACGGGACGGGTTCAAACGGGAAGGTCATTCCGGGAATGGGTCAAAACGGGACGGGTTCAAACGGGAATGGGTTGTTTCGGGCTACACCCGTCTGAACGACTCCTAGGAGTAGCGGAACGGTCGCGTCTAAAGGGTATACCGTTTAATTATTAGAAACATAAACTGACCAGTAACATTTTCTTCAATTTAAGCAAGCGATTTTACGCGGCTTTTGTGGGGAAAATCGGCGCCAGGGGTCCTGCTTGACTACACAAATCAGCTGCTGCAAAAATAAAGGTGCAAAATGTAGAAAAATATGCGGGGATATTTCAAAAATTTGCAGGGAAAAGGTATACCTCAAATAGGGAATTTTTCTACCCAAGAAAGGGAATTCTTGAACGTGGTATATGAAACATCACTGGCCACTCCTGTGGTTCATATTTTGTAAAGGACTTAATTTTTGCAAGAACCTAACTTTCGCAAATTTCGCGAATCGCTTACAATTCGCGAAAAATAGATTCCGCGAACAATTTCGGTAAAATGTAAACACATTGGAATCTATATTGAGATCCCACCGCGTCGCGAAAATTAGAACCCGCGAATTATTACAAAACTTCAGCTTTGACCTAAATTTCCAAACATTGATCCTGATTATGTCGTTTACAGTATGTTGCAATGGCAACGGAAGGTACAGGTCCATTCCGGCTCACAATCATAGTCATTTACCGACAACCTAGGAAACACATGGCTTGGCTTGTCGTGGTCACGCTTGCGGCTTTCCGATTCGTTCTTCGATGTTCTTATCGTCAAATGCCGTAATCTCAATGACCAGCGTGACGTCTATATATAGGCTAATGCGATTGTCTGCTATCGGTGTGCTTCAGATAAACGACACAGAGTGGTGCTCCTCTTCCGGCATTAACCGCTGCAACGTGAGATGCGAGGGTAAGTGGGCAGACGCCCGCTCTGAGTGAGAGGTTAAATTTACCGGGCGTTTCAGCGAAGTCTTTCAGAAATTCCTGCCAAAAAAGTGGCCGAGAAAGAGAAAGAGAGAGAGAGAAAACTATTTCCGGGAAGATATCTGCCAGCCACGGTGAACGTCAGGAATTGGAAAAAAAACAAACGTATTTTTAGTTAAATGATTAACTAGGATTTACTAATTAACCCTAAAAATAGTAAAATTAGCGTAGGGTTACAATTAGATAAAGGAATATCCATTAGTGTATCTTTAGGGAATCCGTTAGCGTGAACCTTGGGAAACGGTGCACACACGTTCCCCTTTCGGAAACGCTAACGCCGACCCCTTCACTTTTCTGTTCTGGTTTTCTCTTTTGCTTCCCCTATTCTTTTCTGCCTCTTTTTGGCTTCTTTACGGGGTCAGTGTTACCGTTTCCCAAAAGGGGACGTGTGTGGCGTTTTCCAAGGGTCATGTTAACGGATTCCCTAAGGATCCACCAATGAATCTTCCTTTATTTTTTTTCCCGCCTGCTTGGTCCAGCGCTAGTACTTGGGTCACACTCCATTTTCTAACACAAAGCAAGGCATACGCGCTCAGCACACCTGCAAGTTCATACTCGCCTCAGCATCCTCGCGCGTGTTGGCTTCCGCCCCGTGACGTCACTTCCCTTTCGCATTTGTCCTTCACTACTCTCCTCCTCTCTACGCTGCGCACTTCCCTTTCCACTGCTTTGTCCACAGAAGGACGCCGTCAGATTTTTCCTGTCGTATGGGTATTAATGCTAACGCATTAAAACTTCCTGACCGTCATCGAAAGCCCATAAGTCAGTGAATTGTGGAAACAGCCCATGTGTGACGCGTGTGGATGCGCTTAGGTTTCCATTCGTGCGAATCTGGTGAAGCAAAAACGAGTTTCTAATTGTAGCCATATGTTTATTTTAACTAACTGAACAAGTTATTTAGTAAATTTTAGTGGTTAGCTGATGAGCATGTTTTTCGTAATCCCTGACGTCCGCCGTGGCTGGCTGTATGTTCCCGAAAAAAAGTTTATTTTCTTCTCACTGACCACGCCAGATTTATCGAATGTTTGTGAAAATCTTCGCTCAAACACCCGGAATATATTGTTGGATTTGATCTTTCTAACGACACACTTTATCGGCACTTTTCAGAGCTCCTTGCGGACGACATCAGGCAGTCTCTCGCTTGCGCCAACCTCATCTACAGCAACGCTCTCCGTTACAGCGAGTCGGGTTTTGAGCCATGGTTTGTTGCCCACCTGCCCCTAAAAGTGGTTACGCCTGCGTACTATCTAAAATACGTACTATATAAAATGATTTTCAGGAGAGTAGATGGATCGGACTTTTTAGAGTGCACGCGTTTCGTACGTCAACAGGCGGAAATCGAGGGGAAAAAGTTAAGGCGGCGTAAATGCGCCAGTTGGAGACCAGCTCCATGCACCATAGTGCGTCCGTTCAGCAAACATGATAATTTGCTATGCTTCGGTGCGTGTACCAGAAAATTCGACCAGGCGCGCAAACATTTGGTCCTTCAATCTCTGCTTTATGTTTTCAGGTTGGGGTGGAAGGAAAGTTGCAGGGGCCAAGATCTGACGAAGTTCATGGATGACCAGACGACAGGCAAAGCGTGTCTCTATTAACTTTCTAATATCAGACAGTAAACCAACACGAATATGTACACAGTCCCTATATATAGTTGGAAAAACGTTGTCAAACGCATTTTGAATCATGCGCGCAAAAGTAACGAAATAAAGGAGTGTGTCTTGTCTCCCAGTCCTTTTTTGGTCACAAATAAAGAAATGGACGAAGGCCATGTCTGCCCCGCCCCCCTCCAGCGCTTTTGATCCCATGATTGGTCAAATGGATGCCTTCTTTAAGCGCATGCAGTCTTAAAATATTTGTGACTCCTTTCCCTACTCGGGGAGGCAGTCATGATCTGGCGAACGACGAGAGATATGTTTATATATAAAAATAAAGTCTACAATCTGCCTGCGTATTTGCGATATATGAAAGGAGTAAGTGATGTGGCACGGCGACTCAATCGCTGCGGTGTACCGGGGGATATAATCGAATGATTGATAATGTGCAACCTGCAATAGAGCACTGGTCACGTGTGAATCGTTATGTGCGATGTCCCAGCGCAGGGTGCCTGTTTTTAGCGTAGAAATGTGTTCTGGCATTTATAATCTACTAAGCGGGGCGAAAAACATATTTTCGTAAGATGGAAGAAAAAAAAAATGAAGTCTACGCTGGGAAACTGTGCATAACGTAAACGTGAAATGTCATGCGCATTGTCACAGCGCCAATTATTAATTTTTTTTTCTGGTCTAAACATATTTCCAACCTCGTCATATTAGCCGAACTCCCTCCATACACTGCAGCACTTGACTCTCTCAAATGCTTTGAGGGAAGAAAGGGTGCACGAAATATTTTAATTTCATTTGGGGAATTTCAACCTTACCTCGGCATACATTATTTTTATAGTGCGTTGTGTCTGTGCGCGTTATATAGAGCGCTGTTTCCGTGGACAAATATTGTAACTCGGCGTGGAGTTGGGCTACTTAATTTAGCGTAATTTAAAGGGATGCTGAAACACTTCTTTCAAGAAATGAGATAGAGGATGATTTTAGAATAGTTTTATTCCGTGAATCTGAATATTGCCACTCGCAGGGCCGAACAAACAACGCTCGGTCACGGTATTCTAGAAGATTCGCGTTGATTGTTACTCGGGACGTAACTTTTATCATTTCTTCCTAGTTTCTGGTTCTCGAAAGTGCCTGCTCATTCTCACCCCAACGCTCGATGCTCGAACCTTCTGGGCCAAATTTTCGCTTTGCCGACGTAATAAGGACCTGCCCGTGACCTCGTCGAGTCAGTCTCGCTTTCGCTTGTTGTTACGCCGCCAAATCGCCACCCGCACTCGCGAAAATTCGGCCCAGAAGGTTCGAGCATCGGGCGTTCGGGGTGACAATGAACAGGTACTTTCGAGATCCAGAAACTGGGAAGAAATGATAGAAGTTACGTCCCGAGTAACAATCAACGCCAATCTTCTAGAATACCGTGACCGAGCATTGTTTGTTCGCAAATCGCCGCCCGCTTTTCTGCTCTCTCGACGCTCGTTCTTTATTTTGTTTGGCATAAGTTCGCCGACTAAACCTTTATTTTCAGTTTACATTTGTCGAGCTCTTTTCCATCCGTGACAATATCACGTTCGCTTACCCCGAAGATGCAACTAAACGCTTGAAAACACGAAAAACCTCCGACCAGTTTGGTTACGTCATAAGAGGATCTTTCGGCCGCCAAGCGCGTGTCGTTCGAGAAACGCGCGTGCGATCGCAAGCTTGGCAGGTATATTCCACCGCACTGGCACCAGTCGTGACGTCTTTTTCTGCCCTTTTAAAAAAATAACAAGAGTGCGTGTGCACAGCTTCGATAGACGCTGAAGCTGCGCGAGAGCGCCACTTCAGCGTCTATCGCAACTCCTTTTGTGACGTCCTCCGGGAAGGAGGGCCTTCAGTGGTATTTCGAAAATGACTTTCTGCAGCCTCCGTGCACCAAATAAAAAAATAAAAAGACATATATGTATCTATATAATTTCGATATTCGAAATCCTGGAGGTCAATTGAAGACGATTTAAGTGTGTTTCCTGAAATTCCAAACTGCTTCAGCTTCCCTTAATTGAAAAAAAAAAAAAGAAAAGCGCGAAAGGACACACATACACGGCACTGTGTCTTTGTTCTTTCAATTTGCCTCCTGATTTGTCGCGCTTTTTCTTTTTTTCCCTTAGGCGACAAAACACCGTCTCTGAAATGTCACCATGGGCCTCTTCCCACATATGCCAATGTGGGAGGGCGCCCACTGGTAGGAAATGAACGGAGATTCTCACGATGGTCGCTGTCCGTTTGCAGTTATGGGAAGCAACTTTTGCAAGAGGTGCCACTTTCTCTCATACACCATGCAAAAGATCGATGTTCGCCACAGACGTGATGACAGAATTAATTAATTTATTTATTTATTCATTCCCTCAGGGCCCGAAGGCATTATAGAGGGGAGTGGTCACACACATCTAATTGCACACAAAGACAAACAGTAATTAGGCAGGTAAGCATAAAAATCCAAAAACAGAACATTGTTAAAACAAAACACTGACAACCAAAATCCATAAAAATATTCGCAAAGTGCAGCTTTGAATCCGGCACTCTTGGCTATGCTGGCAACAGGTGCGGACACGCCTCAATCATGCTCGAGCCATGTTTTCTTCACACATTTATGTGCTTAGAACATGTCTGCAAAATTTTTTTTTTTTTGTGTAACCAATTTAACAAGATCACAAAAAAAAAAAAAAAAAGAAATACACGACTCGGACATTGTTGGGAATTCTACTTTGCATGATGTATTAGCAGTGTGACATGGGGTTTAGGGCTCTCTTTAGAGCCGCTGAACATGGCAACTCACGGTATATTTCCCCTTACCAAGTGAATCGTACAAGCCAAATTGCTGCAAGATCGGCGGATGCTGAATTCAGGGAGTCACTGTATTAGACGCTGCCACCGATGTAGATACGGCTCATTCCGTCATAAATGGTTAGGGTTTCGTTGGCGATACGCCGTGCCACCAGCTCAGCAGTGACTCTTCGACGTCTAGGTTGACGATCTCCGTCTCGATCCGAAGTTTGTTTTCCTCGCTGTGATCGGTATTGTTAGTATACTAGATAAATCTAAGAAGAGATACGCCAAATATCCCCTTCTGAAAACTATAGAATATTACTCACGGATCACGATGAACGACGGATACGAGAGAGCAAGCGCAATATTGTCGCGACTGTACAGCGAGGTTGTCTTTCGTAATCTTGCACCGAGGTATGTCCCGAAAATCGCCGCGCGCGCCTACTTTGCGGCAGATTACTTGGAGAGACAATGCTGCGATCTACGGACGGATATCGGAGAACGAAAAGGTCGAAAAAATGTTTAGGCCTAAACGCTGGGGGCGTGCGAATAGTGGCTCCAATTACGTATGTGCGAATAGTGGCTCAATCCGAATTCTGTTTCGTCATTCGTCACATTCGCAGTGTAAGGGAAAGCCACGACTACCGATTTTCTTAACAGTGATGAGTTTAGGGATGATGAAACTGCGCTATTCGATTCGAACTATTATTCGCATACCTCTAGTTCCAATTGAATAGTGCCTTCCCACTTTAACACTGTTAAGAGAACCGGTTGTCGTGGCTTTTGCTTGTAATGTGGAGGCTATGAATAATGCAGCACTTTTCCGAGCATTAGGAAGAAGGTCCAGAATACCTGTACTTTACTTGGAGTACATCCTCTAAGTATGTGTTAATACTGTTTTTTTTGGTACTTTCCGAGGAAAGTACAATTCCCGACTTCGAAGTACAGTCCCCAAGGTTGGTCTTGTTAAATTTGTATCACAAAATTATGCCTTGTCAACTATCAAGTCATTTGACTTCATCTAATATTCGCCGCCATTTCCGAAAATAACGGATGCACCCTCGATTACCACTCGAGCAATCCACACCAGTTAAAAAACAAACGCTGCATAGAGCCATGGAAGGACATCCTGAAAGATCGTGTAAAAAATGCTCGTACTTTACTTTAAAGGCAAATTATATTTATAGTACTTTACTTCAAATAAAACATCACAAAAGATAGTGTTAAAAAGTACTTCACTTTGAAAGTACACAGAGAGAAAATGGGGTCCATTTTCGACCGTTTTTAGTTTCTGGCGCGTGGAGCTCCATGTCTTCGAGAGCTCCGCCGGCCACCATTCTCCCACTGAAATTTTTAGAAAATCACTTATAACTCATAAATAAAATATCGGTTCGGGCTCAGATTTTGGCATCTGGTACGGACCCCTAGCGTTACCTTTGGGCTGAGAATAAACGTTCGGTAATGCGTAGTTTATTTTTGCACTAACAAAAAATCCTGTAATTTTTTTTTTTTTTTGGGGGGGGGGGGGGGGGGGGGGCATTGTACAGTGTATTTATAGTACTTTATTTTAAGTACATTGAACCCGGTGTACTTACTCCTTTACTTAAAGTATATAACCTCTCATTTACTCTGTACTTCACTTCACGCACGTTTTAGATGTATTTTACGCAACACTGACTATTTGATCCGAATCCCTATATTCGCCCAACCAAACTGAAAATGATAGTGGCACTCGTCATGACGTAAGAACGTGCAAAGTCGTGATCGTAGTTCTTGGAATGCATATTCAACTAGTGTAGTATTTACCGCGCTCTCATTTCTGATCCCTCGATTTTTGCGTGATGATGTCGCAGTTGTGTTACGCTGTTGGCGGCCGCGATCTTAGCGGTGGCACAGTAGCGAAGGTGAATACGGTAGACACCTGTCCTGCTCTAGGTCGCTCTATACAGCTCCGCACTTCATGGGAAATTCGATAGTTACGAGTTGGGACGCCGCGACGACGGCGACACCTGCGCTCTAGACACGCGTTCTAGGCACATATAGATGATGACATCGCAAACTTCACTTTATAGCGTCTAACCATATTTTGGGCCACGAAATTCGAGCCCCGTGCGTATATACTTCGTTTCGCTTAAGTGCAGACGCAGTCCACGCTACGAGCTGACGGGACCATAAGATGGCGTCAAAAAAGCACCATGATGGTGTTTGTCATGTTTCTGTACGTGTTCTATCATCGCTGAAC